TGGGGGTGGGGGGGAGACATATGTAATACTCTTTGTAATACATTAAGAAATAAAAATTATTTTGAAAAAAAAATAAATAAATAAAATAAAAAAGAAACATATCAACCAATTACAATTGATGGACATTATTTTGATCCTGACTTAAGCAAACTATCTTGAAGTACATGCAATTGGGAAAATCAGACATTGGTTAGATAGTTGATGACATTAAGAAAGTGAGTTTGCACTATGATAATAATAATATGGTTACATTTTTTAAAGCCTTTCTGTGTAACAGATACATGCAGAAAGATTTAAGAGTGAACTGATATGATGTCTAAGATTTGCTTTAAAATTATTGGGAGTGAGTGAAGATAGTGATCAAGTAAGACTGGTCAGTTGATGGTTGTTGAAACTGAATGATAGATACATGGAAATTCATTATACCATCTAGTTTTTGAATGTTTAAAATTTCCTAAAATAAAATGTTTTTAAGAGAGTTCTTATCTGATACAGATATATAATGAAATATTGTAGATGAATATAATGTCAGGGATATGCTTCAATGTGGCACATGATTTTAAGTTAACTGGTGAGTGGAAAATGGATGATGGGATCCCCAAATGGACAAAACAAGACCAATTTGGAGGTTATTGGAGTAATCCAATTAAGAAATGATGATGGCTAGGACAAGAGTGATAGCAGTAGAGAAAAAGAGAAGTTGCTGTGGACAGAGGATATAACAGATGGAGCTAGAGTCAGTACCAACTGCAATATAGTGTGGGCAATTTCCAGCTCAAAGCAAAACAAAAACAAACAAAATACCCCAATGACAAAAATGAAAAACCAAGCCAAAATGGTGAATCGTCTAGGTAAGGCTTCTGCAGGACGGTCACTTCAAGTAGGACATGCTCCTCCTGTACAAGGATTCAAAATGCCGCCACACACACCCATGGACATTCACACTGTGCATCTGTCCACAAAGGGAAGCGACTGAAGCTGGGCACTGAGCTCAGAGACAGCAGGCAAACACGAGAGCCTCCTCCGTCCAGGTGCTCAGTCCACACCTACCCCTTCACTTCCATCAGAACATCAGTAGCCAGTGAAGCCAAGAGCAGTGGTAAGCAGAGCGTTTCCCTGAGAGGCTGGCCACCCTGTGGGCCACAACTCTGAGATAGACTGTATCTGTAGTGACCAGCAAGGGGTGGCCATCAACTGGAAGCACTGGCCTGTACATGAGGGGGTGATCCCGGATGAAGGTGAGCACACGGTCAGGCAGGGAGAGTGATGAGTTAAACTGCTGGTATTTCGGATTATTAGCAATGCACTAGGGAAAAAAAGGATAGGTGACAGTGTTTCCCAGGAGCCCGGAATGATGGACAAACAGATGAGTTAGTAGGGACTGATAAACACAGTGACACTAAAAGAAACACAGATGGCAGCACGAACAGATCAGAAATAGGCAGATATATGGAGAGGACAGAGCTTTGTGACGGCAGGCAAGACTCCGGGGAAGCCACACTCACCCTCCATGCTTACTAGCATGGGCCACACACGCTTGTAGTCGGAAGCTCCAGGCACAGACAGGGTCTTGGGCCAGGATGCACTCTGAGCAGCTCTGGAGACGTCCACAGTTGGTTGTGTTCACTTGTGTCACCTCAGTACGGGAGCCAACCAGGAGCCAGCTCTAGAGAAAATTAGTAAAAAAGAGGACTATGCTGCATCTCCCAGACTTTGGTGTCACAAGCTAGCACAAATGTCTCCCCACCAGACTCCCCAAAATCTATGACTCACTTGACACAATTTCATATTCTCAACTGGCTGTGGCTCTGGGAATAAGGCCAGATCCTCAAGGACGCTGAGGTTGGCTCCAATCCGCACAGCTCTGTGGAGGTGTCCATCCTCTAGGAAGCAGGCAGATGGCACGACATAATGACACACTGTACCTGTGCCTGGGACTCTCATACCTGTAAGTATATAGCCCTCTCCTTGACAAGAACATGTGTGCACGGGATGGGCAACGTACTTGGCTACTAAACATACCTGTCCCCCATCATAGTCTTGCCCTGAGAGGCTGGCCACCCTGTGGGCCACAACTCTGAGATAGACTGTATCTGTAGTGACCAGCAAGGGGTGGCCATCAACTGGAAGCACTGGCCTGTACATGAGGGGGTGATCCCGGATGAAGGTGAGCACACGGTCAGGCAGGGAGAGTGATGAGTTAAACTGCTGGTATTTCGGATTATTAGCAATGCACTAGGGAAAAAAAGGATAGGTGACAGTGTTTCCCAGGAGCCCGGAAGTATCCGCGATGCTTACTTGGGCTCTTGCTCTAATGAGGCTATTCTGGCATAGGGTGAAGAGCTGCCCCAGACCCCTTACCTCTCCAGGTCTGGGCTGGGGTACATCACTGTCCATGACAGCCTGTCCCCTTTTGCAGTCATTTTTCAGCTCTCTGAAGGGACCATTCAGCACTGTACGAATGTCTTGTGGTCGGAAGGCACAGACAGCTGAGATGGCAGCACCCTCCCTAGAAGAGACACGGGTTGGAGCCAGATATCTGAAGAGCACTAGTTGAAAACTCGCCACCTGTCAAATGCGATGACCCATAAGAAATGCATAGGAGCCATGCAGCCGGCTTCTGGGAGAAGCCACTCCCTCTGGAAGAGACAGCACTGAAAGGTGCCAGCCCCACGTATCTCCCACCCTGTAATTCTCCTCCACACCAGGACCCCCTCACCACTGGGAGGAAAAGATGCCATAAAAGATGGGGGCCCCCACTCCAGTCTCAGGTCGAAGAATAGACATGTCTTGCAGGACACTAGAGGCCCGGCCATCTACAGGCCCTGGACACCGCAGGTCAGCCTTCAGAAAGGTCGTCCACCTCTTCTGGAGCGTCCTCCGGCCCCCAAGGTCCCCCTGGGGTGAAAAGAGCATGGGCATTTCTCTTTAGAAGACAAAATTTGTAGGGAGAATGTGGAGACCAATACAAGTTTCTCCCAGACAAGGACAGATGAAAAGACAAGACCCATTAAAATGCAATGTAGAGATACAGACACAGTTAGCAGTAGGGAATGATACAGGGGTAGACAGGGTCACAATGATGGGGACTAAGTTCATTGTTGCACTTACAAAGTACCATACTATGTGCTTTCCATACCTTATCTCAGTTAGGTCTCAAAACAACCCTTATAGCTAGGCATCATCAGTATCCTCATCTATAAGGATGCTAAAGAACCTGACCCAAGTCACAGAGGCAGGAAGTGGTGGAGCAGGGTCTGGAGCCCAGGCCTCTCAACAATTCCCAACTTTAACCTCTACACCAACTAGGGACACTGTGTCACAAGGGTAATTATGGAGTTAAAGGCGTTAGAGCCTTTTCCCCATACTCTTCACGCTACCAGAAAATAAGTCAAGACAGGGAAAATGGAGATAGAGGAGAAATGTAAAGACGGAGACCAGAGAAGAAAAGACAGAGACCAGGACAGAGTAGGAGACAACAGACAGACAGCTGGATTCGGAGTCTCACCGCACACACACGGGCCACCCGAGGAACTTTAAGGTGCTCGTCTGAGTCAAAGGCTTGAGAAGTCTCCATAAAGAAGAAGTAGATTTCCTTGTCTCCGTCTTCATCCCCCCACTCAGCTGGCCTCAAGGCCATGGCTGCGACAAAGGCTGGAGCTGGGGAGACCTGTGGCCTCAGATCCCACAGACTCAGTGAGGGGTCACCCAGCCTCCACCCACCCTCTCTGTCCCCACAGTATCCCTCTACCTCTCCCCACCGTTAAGCCAGGATGGCAAGATCTCTGTCCGAATCCAATCCTCAGCACGGCCCTCAGCCCGGGAGATAATCGGCTCCGTCCCCAGGAAGTTTCTCACAGTGGCAGCATAGAGAACCCCCTCTGCAGGGAGACAGGGAGGAGATGAGCTATGAGACCTGCTGAAGGATGCAAAAGGGGCCACAGGCAGAGCAGGGATAAAGCAGGGATAGGAACACTCAGGGGCTGAGTGCCCATTAACTGTAGGGAACTGCTAAGCACAGGAGAGGATTCCCTCATTTAAAATCATCCTGGATATAAAGTGCTCCAGGGAAGAGTGGGGAACCTGTGTTTAGAGGAAAGTGCCAGAATGTTAATGTATATGAAGGGAGAATGAAAGCTGCCCTTGTATCATGAACAGTGTGGCTCAATGGGTGAGCATTGACCCATGAACCAGGAGGTCACAGTTCAATTCCTGAGGAGGGCACTTGCCTGGCTTGTGGGCCTGATCCCCAATAGGGCACATGCAAGAAGCAGCCAAGCAGTGTTTCTCCCTCATCATTGATGCTTCTAGGTCTCTCTCCCTCTCTCTCTTCTTCTCTCTGAAACCCATTTATAAAGAAGAAAGCTACCCTTGTGGAAATCAGGCTGTTTGGTTGGTTTGCTTGTGTTGTCTTTGTTTTAGGGATTTCTCTACCCTGTAATATACTAATTATACTGCTACTCTCCAGGAAGGAGGTTTGCTTTGCAGCAAGTCCCAGTCTTACTTAAGTTCTCCCCCTGTGGTAAATGTCTGAAGGAACTAGCATTCTTTCTGACAATTAATGGGTGTACACTGCTCTGGAACTAGTCACAACTTTAGGGAATACTAGGACCATTTGGGGAGTTGATCAAGATGCAGATTCCTGGGAGAGAAGGGAGTGGTGCAGCTCTGGGCTGAATGTGAGAGCATTATAGCCACTCTGAGTACCACTGCCAAGGGCTCAGACATGAGCCAGGGAAAATGATTTGGGGGAGTAAATGGTCACAATCCCTGTTCCTCAGAGTTTTGTGTATCACAGGGAACAGCAGTTCTGGAGAGAACAGAGTGGCATTACTTTATCACTTACTACATACAAGGCACTGTGCCAGGTGTTAAGCACATCAATGCCCCCAAGAACCCTCATCTGACTCTGTTTAATCAGATGGATACCAAGAGGTGGGGATGCACAGATGTGTGCAGGAGCACAGAGGGCAGCCCAGCCACATCTGACTGGGTAGCAGCATCTCAGAGGTGACATTTGAGCCAGGTCTGAAGAATGAGCATTTGCCAGGTAGAAGGGCTTCAGGGTGGACCATAAACATGTGGGAAGGAGGGTGCCATGTCTAGGGTTGTGGGCTACTTCCCAGGCTGAAGTGCCGATGGGATGCAGGAGCTGACAGGCAAGTGAGCAGAGGTGCAGTTGGAGGTGCAGAGATGGGCACCCAATTATGATGACTCTGCCAAAACCAGGAACATGGGCTTGATCTTACAGGTAACAGCAAAACTGCAGAGATTTTCATGAAGACAGGTGACATAATCAGTTTCGATATTTAAGAAGATAATGCTACGTAAGAGGCCATTCACACAGTGCTGGCAAGAGTAAATTGCCTGAGTTAAGGCAAGGGCAGAGGAAATAAAGGGACTGGATTTGGGATATACTTCTGAGGTAGAGTCCATTAACAAGGTTTGAAAATCAATGGAATATGAGGTGTGAAAGAATGAAATAAAGCGTATCTCTAAGGTTTACTGTTTAGAAGACGGATGATAGTAGATGGTGATATTATCAATCAGGAAATGACAGAAGTAGGCCCATACAGGAGGTGGCTGAAGAAGAAGTGAGCTGTCATGAATTAAGCATGACTCCCAGTTAGCCTGATGTGGCCCTGCTGCCTGACTCCTTCTGTTTAATTGCCTTCCAATATCTCTGACCAGATGTCCTGAAGGTTCTTCAACCTTAGCATGTCCACAAAATACCATGTGCAGGCACACACGGACAGTGCAATTGATACTTCGTGGCCCATGCCCAGAAGTCGGTATTTTGTGGAAGAGCCACACTCAAGGGGACAAAGAGCCGCATGTGGATGTGCGAGCTGCAGTTTGCCGACCACTGCTTAGGGGAGAAGCTACTGAATGCAACTCAGAAGATCAAGTCAGAGAGGATGGAGAAGCAAGAGAGGCTGGTGTGCCAAAAGCTGGTGCACAGAAACTCCAGCAGGAGCCATGGGGCTCACCCACTTAGAGTAGCTGTAGAGTAGAGCCACTACAGGGAAAACAGTCATGGTGGAGCAAAGCTGCATTCCTCAGGCACCAGAAAGATAACCACTATTTTAAAAACATTATATATAGCAAAACAAAGTAAGGAGTCCTCAGAGGCCAACAGTCGAGGGTTAGAAACAGTGGAGGAATGGGGGAGGAAACTATACTCTCTCTTGTGATTTGTGTTTAGGATAAGAATCCAATAATGTTGGAGCCAGGGAGTTTGGGGTTTGAACCCTGAATACATACTGGTAGTATGATCTTGAGCAAATTAACCTTCCTAAGCCTCAGGTTCCTCAGAGCAGCACTGAGTCTTAAATGAGACAAACACAGAGCCCAGGTAGGGCCTGGCCCAAGGCTGGCATTCAATACTTGTAGGGGATAGCTCCTTATGAACTCTCAAGGGCCCATGTGCTTCAATTGTTGCCTGAGGTGAAGGGATTTAAAAAATGGCATTTATTTCCTTGCAGTGGTTTCAGGAGAGAGAAACCAGGTTTGGGGCACAAGTCCTGGTACCAAATGGAGCAGCAAATTAGCCAGTCCTCTGTATTCCCAAGGGAAAATAAAAGTTGATAAAGAAGCCAAATTGGAATGAAAATTTCCCTAGGAGTGTTGTAAATAAAACACTCTAAAACCAAAAGTCTGGTAGAAGTTGTGTCATGGATAACCTGAGAATGGAGGGAGATGTTTTGGAGACAGTTATAAATATGTTGGCAGCATGGTTTGGGGTACGTGTGTGTAGACAATCATAAGTATTCTGCAAACAGTAAAACATCTCTGTTAACCATGCAAAGACCCAATGATAGATAGAGGTAAAGGGTCCCAAGCTTTCTAAGAGATCATCAAGGGTACTTAGCAACTCTGGAGCCTAGATTGCTGAGGAGCACACTCAGGATGGCATAGCAGAGGATCACTGACACTAAGGGACTACAAAAGGGATCAGACACTTTGGGAGGAAATAGCAGGGTTTCAGGTGAACTAAGGAACTTGCAACAGTCTTACAAACACAGAGAAAAAACAGTGACCATCAGTTGATGAGGGCAAGAATCTACAAAGGACACAGGATCACCCCACGTCCTAAATTCTCCGGGACAGTCTCACTTCCAAGTATTTTGTTGTACTGTCCATATAATACAATATTCCTGAATGTGCATTTGGTGGATTATTACTGAAAGGATCAATTCAGTAGACATTAAAATATACATCTGCTACTGGCAAAAGATGATGTGCAAAAGAGAAAGATGCCCACAGTGTTGTGTTTAGGGAACAAGCTGGTTAGAACAAAACACTGGGTACAATTCAACCCGACGTTTAAAGATATGTATACATGTCTGCAGATGTAGCAAAGATTGTTGAAGGAGTTATAGCGCTACAGTGTTAATGAAGTTTGTTTCTGGCTAATGAAATTATAAGTGATTTTCATTTTCTCCTGTATATTTCTTGTGTTCATTGAATGGATTTTATAGTTAGCATCATTTAATTTTATAATCCAAAAAATGGAGATATTTTCATTTTGGTAATACAAAAAAAAAAGATTGAAAGTTGTAAAAGATGAAGAATCACAATTATTTGTGGAAGTCAATCCACATCTCTACCTGCCCAGATGTAAGCCTGTGAGCACAGGCTTCCCAGATGTGTTAGACTATAACACTGATAGACCAGGGTAAGTGTCATGGCAATGAATATTTCACTCCCCTGGGGTTTCAAGTTTTCCCTTTCTTATCAAAATGCTCACCTTTAGAGATTTACAATAGGAGTTATCATTCATTAGCTTTAAAACAATTTTAAACAGCCCTATCTGGCTTAGCTCAGCGGACAGATTATCGGCTTTTTTTTTTTAATATTACATGTTT